TCCCACATAAATAGCTCAGCCAATTTAAAGATATGTGGGCAATGAGGCTTTAATATAACGTTACTAAATAACTGAATAGACATCAACAAAACGCTTCATTGCAAGTCAAGTGTTGGGATTTTTCTCTACACTCAGTTCTCACAGTTAAGCCCTGTTGAGTCGCTGTTGACTTTACTATTTCTAGGTAATGTGCAGTCATATACAAACATCCCAATAAGGCATGTTTATTAGATTAAAAGTATATTTTAAAAACAACAACCTGTATTGTTTCACATTGTGAGTTACTGGAATAAATGAACTTTTTAGTAATAGTCTAATTTATTGCCGTCTTTCCCATCCCACTGTGCTATTTGCTGTTGCTGTACCTGCTAAGGTGTGTCCATTAAGGACATCATGGAGAGGCTTGCAGAAGATTACCAGTTGAGTGTGTTTGCTTCTGCATCCCTGTGATACGAAAATAAACACGCCTTTGAATTAAATGAGTCTGTATATTTTATTTCAAATCCCTTATTTTCTCAGCTGTGTCCGTTTTCCATTTTGTTCTTAGGCTAAGTGGCAGGTTCCTTCTAGCTAAATGTACTGTATCTGTAATAAAACGTATGACTCGGAATAAGTAAATGTCCAGAAACAAAGTGGCTTTCTTTATCTTTTTCCCAATTTCAACCTCAAACGTTGATGTATTTTATTGGGGTATAATGTGACAAACTGACACAAACCATGGTGTAGCTTTATGAAGTTAAAGGTAAATGATGCAATGCTTTTCAGAAATGGTCACATGTGTGCCTCTATATTCAGCCTCCCTAAATCAGTACTTTATAGAACCAATCTTCTCTAATTACAGCTGCAGACTGTTTGTGGCATGTCTTTAACAGCTTTCCACATTTTTACAGATTCCTCTTCACAAAATAACTCAGTCAGTCAGACTGAACTTTGAATTGACAATTCAATCCATGATTATGTACTTCTTTGAGCTAAAAAAACCTCCGTGGAAATATACTGTATGTATATGACATTCTCACACTTTTCTAGCAGCTTTAGGTATTCTATAAGCCAACATAAAAACGTGATATGTGCTCACATTGCTTTATATTGTCTGTAATTGCCTTTTTTTCTTCTTCTCAGGATTGCCATTCTGTCTATGGTCCTTGCGCATAGTGGTTCTATAATTGTCTAAATAAGGAAGGATGACAAAGAGACATGGTGGCAGAACTAAAGGTTGCACAGCTCATCAGGACCATACAAATTTTTGCTCTAAAAATAATCGAGTTTTAAACAAGCCTAACTGCAACCCACTTCATATAATCACCCATATCCAAATTTAAACATTCATGGTCTTTTAGCCACTAGTAAATTGTTCCACCACGCCAAAACCCTCTTGGCCACGCCAATTTCTATTGTGTGACACAGAGCATAAAAACAGTGGCGAGCACACACAATGGAGGGTCGCTGCAACGCGCTAGAAATAATCATAACAATGACGGCTCTCGTATTTATAGTTGCAAAGAGACTCCCAAGCAGCGCCAAAGTGCTTTGTTATTAACAGGAAGAGCTGCTCCCCATCAAGAACAGACAGCACTTCTCCTTAACGGGTGATTCATGTTCAAGGTTCTCACTGTCTGCAGGTTACCAGTAAGGCTGTAAATATTAACCGAAAATGCAAATGCAGCATAAAAATAGATCTACATGTCGTGTCCAAGCAAACGAAAACAAAAGGGTTGCAGAGGCAACGGAGCGTTCTGATTGAAAAACGGCTTTCCAAGCATCAGTAGTCAGACAGAGATCATTGGGTCATCTCGCATCTGTAGAGCTCTTCCTGAGTGAAACCCGGGATAATCGAAAGCGGGAGCAAAAACAGAGACAAAAGGGGAATAGAGATTGCTGCTGATAGCCAGCGCCAACATTTCATCAACAGTAATGACAGCAGCTGAGAGGGCGACGTGTGCAGGCGAGCTGCCAGATAGACAAAATGAGGGGTCCTTTAGTGCATTGTTTGATAAGAGAGGATGTTTCTTGATTGTCTGCTATCAGGTCACCAGAACTAGCAGGAAAAGAATAAGTGACTCACTTAAGATTAAGCGCCCAAGTGAAATACGATTTCACCGTGACACAAGTGACACAAGTGTCCACACCAAAACACCAGATAAAACACATTTCAGAGCAACAAAGACTGAGAATGAAATGCTGGTGCTTCAGGTTTACAGATTTCTCTCATGTAAACAGATTCAACTCGTGGAACACCTCTGAGGCATTGTAGTGTTTTTGCTCACTTTTGTCAGCAAACACACCTGCAGGCTTAAGCATGCCTCTCCACTGTATTTATAATAATAAGCAGACATGCTTAAATTAAAGTTGCACTTCCTCTTTTGTGTCCAAAGCCCCACTTGTTGAGAGAGTGGGAGTTTAAGTGATGGACAGATGCATTTCATCCCCAGACATGGCTTCCTTTGGCTCATTTATGACATACGCCAGTATGTCAACATCAACATCAACATCCTTCCTGCAAGAAGAAGCCTTTTCGCTCCGTATTTTGTAGAGAGATTTTTTTTTCACGAGCTTTCAGTACTTTTTTAGGCTGAGGCAAAGTCAAAAGAGAAGGAGAAAAACACATAAATATTAGCAAACTACAAGGGCTTTGTCCCTCTGATCTACACAAACTGCTTGGTATATTACAAGTATCAGCTTAGCCTGGTAAAAACCAGCCCCTTGTTCTACTTTCTTCTGTTGAAGTTTTAAAAGACTGGATCTGATTTTACCTGGTTCTTAGCGTTTATCCATGATGCATGTAAGGTGCCAGATCATTGAAGCTTACCTGAAATTACATGTGCTGTTAACAAACCTGTGGGGACTAGGGTAGCGACATCTTTGCCAGCAACAAAACGTTTTAAGCATTTATTTTGCTCCAACTTGAATTGCTCAATGGCTTCATTCACTTCCTCTGCTGTCATTGCCAAACTAAAAAACTATATAGGCCTATTAGAAATTGATCCCATTGTTGGTAACTTTTCATTTTTGGCTGAATTTCAAGTGGAGATATTCAGCTGAATGGGAGAAATCTCAGAAATGGCATCAAAAGGAGAGGAAAACCAAGAGGAAGTGCGTCGAAAGGCAATGGCCAGACTAGCATCATGTTTGCTGCTTTTCTCCTGTTCAGAGGTTACTGTGACCAGAGATTGAAGCCAACTTTACATTTTTCTGAACTCTTCTTTACTTTGCAAAGTTATTTCATGCATGTGTCATTTTCAGCATTAGCAGCATGCCTGATTACAAAATAATGCTATTCCTGAAACATTATATTTTGGGAAATATAAACATGCAAAGTTTGTCACAGTTATTAGCACCCTGTGAAAGATGTGTAGACAGCAACAGTGGGAAAAATTATCGTTCAGTAACATTGCTTTTTGTCTGTTTTGTTTTGAAGTCGGATCTGAAGAGTTTCAGGTGAATTCAGGTCAGAACTTGGCAGGAAAGCATGGATCATTCCTGCCTTTTTTCACCTCGGTAGGCTGCTGCTGGTGGTGAAATGGTTCCTTTTTGATCCTTCTCTGTGGTTCTCTTTTAGTCTCCAACATTAACAGCAGACAATTAAGAGAGCAGCTACTTATTTTATGCATTCTCTGACTTATGATGAACACAAATTACCCTTAATTAAATAGCACTAAGCACCCCCTACGACCTTGCATTATAATTAGGTATATCCAATGGAAGGATGGGTAGCATGCATTATGTCATATTTGTAACTGAGACAAACGGATATTTGTGGCTTTTAGAGCATTTATAAACAGTAACCTAACTTGCAGCCAATGTGATTTTGATTGAGACAATTATTTCTCAATGTGGGATTTTCCTAACAAAATGTTTCTTATTACTGGAACTTCCAGTCTGGAAGTCGGAGTCCTGACATGAACTTCATTGATGGTCTATGCAGGGAGCTAAAGATGATGGTAATGGCAAGGAGGCCTCACAACAAAACAAAAAAATCAACTAAAAATACTAGTATAAACATACTCAGCAACTGCCAACTATGTTTGAATGCTGTAATACCATTAACATCTTTACCACTGACCACTGAGAAGCGCATAAAATACATGTCAAAAATAGATAAAACAGATAAAGGATATTCACTTTCCAAATTTATACAACTTTTACAATGTTTTATTAACTTTATTTTTCATTTCCTATCAGAAAATGACTGAAGGTCTGAGACCACAGAAAGGAAAGTTATTCATGTCATGTGGTGAGCTGTGAGGACACAGTTAAAATACATCTTGACCACTGATGGGAGACCCTCCTATCTGCAGGACACAGAACTCGGTGGCACTATAAGTCAACTTTGCTGCTCCACTTTATCTGTATCTTCACTGAACATGAGCATTCTTTGAGGGGGCTGGAGGGGGACATGAAAAAAATAATGTCAAAACAGCAGGGAGGGGGGTGGACTGTAAACTCTGGATGTGGATTTTTTTTTTGTGAGTTCACGATAAGCGCAGAGCTGCCTCACTGAGCTTCCTTATTAGAAAAAAAAAAAAGAAAATTTCCCAGGCAGACTGAAAGGCTCAAGGCGAGGAAACTCCTGTCATGGAGTAGGAGGTTTCCTTCTCCGGATAAACTTTGGCAACCAGGATAATTCATCTCTGGAGTGACTGTTGGTGAATCAGCCTCTTTATAGTTTAGTCTATATCCTGGTGAGCCCAAAACGACTTGGGCGAGGCTAGGGCTTGGCTTTTTTTGTTGCCAAACTTGTGGTTTTTCTATTGTTCTCTTTTCCTCCACAATGTCAAGCTTTTAAATTGGAAAACTAGATTCTTTTCACACTCAGTCTTAATCTCCCATGTAACGAGAATAAGCATTCATGTTTAATTCAATTTAAGATATTCTTTATAACTTCGATTCAATTCAAGTCCAGGCAGGAGCTTTAACACCACCTAGTGGAGGGAAGAAGAACAAAGCCCCAACCCGTCTGCAACAACATAAATAAAACAAAGCAACAGACAAAAGAGCCAGATGTGTACAATGTTAGGTTTAATTCAAGAGCGTGAAAGTCAAACAATATTAAAGACAAGACATGTTTAGTCTACTTTTGATATCAGAGGAAATGAGCTTCTGTGGGTCTTAATATTTCCTGCTTTCCCAAGGAGCAGCCTCTGAGACGGCCTTCAGTCTTCTGGGGAACCTTATCACCGACGTCCCAAAAAGTACGGAGCAGATGCTACCCTCGGTTAAAAAAAAAAACACACACACAGACCTCACAGAAAACAAACATTTACAGACACAATTATTTCACTCACATATTCAAAGTTACTTCTTCTCCCAAACTAACGTTGTGGAAAAAAAGAAAAGAAAAAGTTTGGCACATTTGAAAAGTTAGTGTTTTCTGTTTGAGGTCTGAAGGAACGAGGCTTTAGTGTTCTGAAAATATTTTCTCAACTTCATCCACCCAGTCACAAGGAGATTCTTCCTCAAAGTCCCTGTGTGGACAGAACACACAATACAATGAATGTTAACAGTGTTTTCGTAGGAGAGCTGTTTTATAGAAACGATACAAAGCTAACACATTCCAGGCATTCTGCAGGTACTCAGACAGCTCACTCTGTCCACATCGATATTCAGGGTCTGAACTGTTTATTTTTACACAGACTGGTTCAGAAATATACGGAAAGTCCAACTTATCCATAAAAATGAACAGGAAATGTTCACATTTTGGGCATTCCTTTGTATTTCTGACCATCTGGAGCTTCATTATTGGACTTTATGTGTGATACTTGGGTTTTTCAGGATAACCTCTGTTTTTGTTTCAGGGCGGAATGATCGAACAGCAAACAACTTGAAATTCAAAAACTAGAATTGTGTGCAGAAGGGTACTACCACTAATATTAAGCTTCATTTTAATCACACTCTCTTTGAAGCCATTAATAAGACATTTGCATGAACACTCTCGTTATCATAGTTAGCAAAGTTTATTTAAATTGGTTGCTTTCCTGGGGCTTATGCTGTGTTCCAGTCAGAACTGGGAGATTCTGACCTCTCAGTCAGAAAAATCAACTGGAACGCCCTTTCAAGTTGGACTTCCCACTCAGAAATTTCAGCCACTCTGACCACCCCAAATCACGACATGTAAGGTCGACTTTGCATTTCAGTGTGGCTGCTCCTCACATCAACAGTAGTCAAATGTGGTGGAAACATGTTGCGTCTTATTCACTGTTTATATTTTAGATTGTTCTCTCTACAAGAACATTTTGTGAAACCTGTTGGTTTCTAATGTGACTGAACATTAGAAACCACCTAATGTGGCACAAAAAACAACATGGAGAGCTTTTCAAAAATAGTGATAAGCATTTAAACTCGTCACATTTTCTCATGTTACAGCCTCAGTGCATTTTATTGTGATTTTATCAGTTAAACTAACACAAATACTGCTTTTCCTTCCGCTTAACGGCCAATATTCACTCAAAAATCTAAACTTGTGACTAATTCATGACACTTATTTTTTAGCATTTTTTTTAAAAGAAGAAAAAACTTCAATGTACATTTTTAAAATATTTTTATTTTCTTGTTAAGCACTTCTGGATGGATGCAGACTGCATTTCATCGCTCTGTACTTGTGACGTGCAATGACAAAAAAGTTGAATTCTAATTCTAATTGACACTACATGACAAGAAAGATGACACGTCAACTAGAACATAAAATGTGTGGGAAAAAAAAGCAAACGTTCTTACGTGTCCTCATCATCAGAGCGAGGCTGCAGTCTGTACTCGTCCGCTACTTCTAGCTCGGGCCCATCGGTGTCATCACCCTGTTGCCGGGAGAGGGGCCCAACCAGTGGGTTGTCATCTGGAAACGGAAAAAAAACCCCTGCATCAAATAAAACCTTTTACACCATCTGGAATGATTTAAATGTTTCATTGAGGATGCTTAGGGCAAAAAAAAAAGAAAAAAAGAAAGCGTGCTCTTGACCTCCTCTGTGAATTAAAAAGGTGCTGAAAGCTTTGTTCAGCTGGGCCTTCTCCAGCAGGGCCAGGAGCCGCTCGGGAGGTTCCCGCACCCACTGCTTTCTCTGCCTGCCGGCCTCTGAGTCACCTGCAACAACAAGGAAGGAACACTGGGATCTAGTTTTCTTTCAAACAGCTCAGGAAATTAAATTTCGCCGCTGTCGTACTTTCACGGGTGGAGCCGGTCTGGCAAGCCGCAGCCATGCTGTCTGATGAAGCCAGGCTGGCGTTGGCCAACATCTGCAGCACGGCGCTCGGTGACTCAGCCGTCCACTGCTTCCTACAGCCTGGTTCTGAGCTCTCACAGCAGCTTTTAGGTACATCTTCACCCAAGCCTGTCGCAGTAAGACATTAATCAATTAATCGCATTATAAACTAAAATGAGCTCAATAAGTTAATTAATATTTTTTAAAGGGCAATTTTGTTTGGAGGCCCCATAATCTATTTTATTTACAGTTTCTGTTTTTCTCGTCCTTTTGCTCAATTTTGGATATTTAAAATAGATTTAGGTTCCAGGTGTTTGCAAAATGGAGGTTTATTGTGCAAACTTGCATTATTATACTATAATCAACATATTACTTCAAAACAGTCACATAACAATATTAACGTCTGTCGCAATAATGTTATTCATATGATAGAACATATAAAATAAAGTAATAAATTATCATGAAGTGCAAACATTTGTTATACCCCACCTCTAAATAATATTCAAATTATTTTTAATCCATAATCCAAATCTCACCACCATTTTCATGTTTAGTTCTTGTTCATTTTAAATCTATACAAATTATTTAATAAAATTATTTTATAATATTACAAACACTATTTTAAGGTATGTGACTGTACACCACACTATTAAGTTCCACATATTATTTTTCTTCCTCTTCACACTTCTGCTCTGATTCATGCTGATGGTTGACATGAAACCCAATAAAATACACTTGAGTTTGAGGATGTAGCCTAAAAACAGAGTGAAAATGTTTCAGGATTAGGAATGCTTTGCTAAGGCAAGTTAAAATCAAGCGTATTGAACTTTCCACCTTCAATTGTTGATGTTTTTATTAAACTCTTCTCTCCCAGGAAATTGGCCACTTTCCGCCCTTCTTCCTTCTTCCATCGACCCGTTCGCCTCTTCTCTCCCTCCTCCTCTGAAGCCTGTAAAGGGTTCAAACCAGAGCAGTAAGTGCAGCGCGTAATAAAACCTGAACCAACACGAGCTTTGTCAGATTCCACAGATGAGGGATATGAGTAAGAGTTTCAACTGATTTTGACATTCCTGTCAAAGGACAAGCTGTAAAATCACTCTGTGAAATCAGAGCGTTTCCACCTGTGGGGGCAGATGAGAGCGCAGGAGTCTGGAAACCCGGTGAGAGGTCAGGATTGTGCGCACCGACGGCCGGTCTTTTGGATTGGTCTTGAACATGTGCTTGATCAGGTAGTGCAGCTCGTAAGGCAGGTGGTTGGGGAGTGGAGGGTACGCGCCCCGGCACACCTTCAGGATCAAACTCTTCCAGCTGGACGCCTGGAACTGAACGCAGGAAATGGGAGTAAGGGTCAGAGAGACAACAAGCCACAAAAACACAGCAGCTAATTTAACTCAGCTGACAACATGAGGCTGATCTAGCTGATTTTAGTCAGTGACTCATAAATATTTAAGCAGAGGTCCAGTCGGTTAAACCCAGGGCACGGGAGGACGAGTACCGGGTGTCGCAGGGTGCAGAGCTCGTAGAGGACGCAGCCCAGCGACCACACGTCACTGCAGAACACAAAAAGACAGACGTGGTTATTCACACAATGCAGACATTTGTCATGCACAGTCACAGAGAATTACGATTACATCAGTTACATAACTCCTGCTCAGATGGGAACTGAGACTAAGCTCAATTTCAAAACTCCACCTTGTTTTTTTTTTTTTTTTTTTCTTTACATAACCTGCCCTGACAGCTGAGTGAAACAGTAAATTGCCCTCAACTGTCAGGGATAAAATTACACATCTCTCCTGTTGCACCACTGACTTTATTGAATTAGCTAATCAATTGTTCCGACGATTAAATTCTGCAGATTTTTCGTTTAACTTATTAAGCTTATTTTCACACAATATTAGAAATACGTTCAAAAATGCAGATAAGCAAATAACTTGATTCTTTTATACACAAGAAAATAAAAACGTTATTGCCCAAAACGATCGATTATTTGTAGCAAAGGATGCATCTGCACCTAAAAAAATACTTTTAACATCAACATTTAAAAAGCTCAGTCTTTCCTGGTTGAGTTTAGGACTGATATGTTGACGGGTTTCTTTTTGGATTAAATGAATAATAGTTGCACAGCAAAAAGCGCTTAATAGGAGATTTTTTAAATTATTTTTTTTAAGAGGTTCTCACGTCAATGCAACCACACTCAAAGTCTGCAACCCTTGACTACCAGCAATTCAAGAAAAGCAACAAATTCTCCATCCACCAGTACTCCACAAGGGACCGCCCAACCTCCCAAAAGATGCCCCCGTCCAGCACATTGCCCGGGGTGTTTCTAAAAAGAAAACCACATGTAGAAGTGAATGATAATGTTTCTAATTGTAAAACTGCAACTGAATAACTGAAGGATTTCCGGATATGGTGCATAATATGATTAACCTCTGCAGAATTTGTGCAGATATCTGTATGTAGGCCAGCGTTTTGATCTGCAGGCAGAAGCACGTTAAAAACTGGCAGGAATCGGTAAAGGCAAGCCCACCATGGGCTTAGAGAATCTTCTGAAAACAACTCCTCCACAAATCCTTTTAAGCAGCAAAACTTATTGCTGGAAGGGGCTGAAGTTCTTCAGGAAATCTGCGCTCTGTGTTTTTTTTATATATATATATATATATATATATATATATATATATATATATATATATATATATATATTTTTTTTTTTTTTTTAAAGATAGATATCCTCCTGGCTATAGAGACAAGAAACATCCAAACTTTTATTAGAGAAATAAAGAAAATCATTGAAGTCTGGGTTTATGTCTGGCAACATGTTGTTGCCAACAAGACAAACCAAAAACATAAGAGTTTTTCAGCAACTAAGAAGTACTTATATATTTATTGTTGCAAAAGTCAAATCAGTTTGGTTTGTCTGTTTAAATATTTTTAATCACTAAATGATTCATAATTAGGTTTATAACTGCTGCAGCGTACCTCTTGTTGTTGTACGGCTTGTTGTCCCAGATTTCTGGTGCCACATAATACGGCGTCCCAACATATGCCTGAGCATAAGCTTTTGAGCTGTAAGAAATTCACAGTCATTCTTTAAAACATAGCAGCGAAAGCGGCAATGAGAAATCAGCCTGGACAGGCGATCTAAATGTGTTTTCCTGCAGCACCTGTTCAGAACACAAGCAGAGCCGAAGTCCCCGAGCTTGACTGAACCGTCATCAGTCAGGAAAATGTTCTGCGACAGGAAATGAGACCGAAGTGGTGATTTAACATGAGGCAAAACATAAGAGCATTGAACTGTGGCAAAATGACATTATGCACAAGAGGGTGATCATGCACTCGTCTCTGTTACGGTTGAGCAATTCACTTCAGCCCGAATGTTAATCCATACTTTAATGCTACTCTACCTTGGACTTTAAATCTCTGTGCAAAACCCTTTTATCATGAATATGTTTTGCACCTGCACACATCTGAGCGAACCACTTCAAGATCTGGGGAAGAGGAAAAAAATTTTAGAACAGGGACAAAAAGAAGATCAGTAGCAAAAAAAAAAAAAAAAAAACAGCTTCAGGGAAATCGACCTACATTTTCAACAGTGAATTGAGAGGATTTCTGCTGCTGCTGGATCCTCTGAAGCAGATCTCCTCCACCGCAGTACTCCATAACAATGCACAAGAAGCCATCCCCTGGAAACACACAACCACATTTCCTTTCATCTTATTCAAAGATATTTGCACAGCTCGGAGTAAAAAGTATTCCCAACCCTTGAACTTTTTTTTTTTTTACATTTTGTCCAGTTCGATCACAATCTTTGTTCTGTTTTATTTATATGTTATGGTCTAGACCAGGGGCCAGCAACTTTTATGATCCCAGCTCAATAAAAGAATTGAATACATTTTCTTCAGTTTTTATTGTAAAAGATTATGACAAAAAAAAAAAAAAGCTTGTTAGAAGCTGCAAACGACACGAGACTGTGGCCTCTGTTCACCTTCCACCCAAAACATACAGGAAGAGCTACAGTGTAAGAGTTTAAATCAAGGCATGTTTGTATTAGAATAGCTCAGTTAAAGTCCAGACGTAAAATTTATGTAGTCAAATTTTCTCCATCCACACCTCGAGTTTGTCATACGATGTAAGAACCACTACTTTATGTTGGTATAACGTGAATAAGAAAACACAAATGTCAATAAAATATACAAATATACTTTAAGATGCTGTAAGTCATTTTAATTGTACTGTGTAAAATTACCTTCAAATGCCTCCCTGAAAGCCACAATATTGGGATGCTTCATTCTGGACAGTAGAACGGCTTCCCTTCTTGAACTTTGCAATTTGGACTGGTTCTGTAAAATGTGACAATAAACAATGACCAACTCCTGTAAATGAGCAGTAATCTGCCTTTGCTTAAAACATACTTTAGTCGGTCACTTTCTTTATAGCTTAAACTATTTAACTCTTTTTCTAATGTAACAGTCGCCTTTAAGAGTTTTTTCCCCCTAAGTTAAGAATAAATTCCAACTGTACCATACAAAGGATTATTCTATTGTAAATTACGTCAAAGCTACATTTAAAAGATTATGCTCGTACTCACCTTTGGCAGCTGTATTTCCTTAAGTACATACTTTTCCTGAGTGTTTCTGCATTGCACCAACACAGCCCGACCAAATGACCCTTCCCCGATCACTCTAATTTGGGAGTATTTCTCCATGATACTTCACCGAACTACACAACAACAACAAAAAAAAACACACCAGACATAAACCCAGTCATTGTACGATCAAGAAATTTCTTAATAAAGACTGAAAATCTTTTTTTTTTATGCTTATTGTTCATGCAAGGTCAAAGTTTTATAATTAGAAATCAATCAGTGATAATAAATCTACCCATGCACCCATGGTGCTGATGGCTTGGTCGCTACTTCCTTGTTATTGTATGACGTAGCGAAGGACGCCACTGCATTGCGCAGTGTGGCCACTAGATGGTGGCAGATCCCCATATTTATTTCCTAAAACTGCCTAAAAGTATGTCCCGTTATTGCTCGGATTTACAATGGTGACATTTGATGAAACTTTAATACAGTGAAGTCATATCAGCTTTACTTCTTTTCCGTGATTTTTATTTATTTATTTTAATTTTATGTGAGCCAGTCTTTATACTGTATTTTCCTCAGCTCTGGCTAACTTTTACTGAAGAATATATTTTTCCACAGTGAAATGTTATCAGTATATTCTAAGTACTTCAATGCTACTAGCTAGACATGTTAATTTGATCGATGTCACTCTAGAGACAGAGCCACTAGCCACTTAATTAAATGCTGCCCACTTGTTGTGTTCAAGAAACAAGTCTGCTATAGTGTAAGCTTTGTGACATTTTGCCATATCTTGCTAGATGCAGCCATTCAGATTAGCCATTAATAATATGATTTACAACACTCAGGTGGTGTTTGAATGGCCACTGGCATTAAGGGACCAAAAGTGTGTCAAGGAAATTTACCCCCACTATTAAACCAACAAGAAAATTCATGACCCTATCTGAATGTAACAACTGAAATGGAGGAGCAGCTGGTCATGAAGCATTTTCTCAATCCATTAATGTACAGTTTCAGTGATCATGCCGTGTTTACCTACCTTGGTAGTGAATGGTTGTTACCTTTCTGTCAATTTGAACCCATCTACCCCTGCTCCTTTGACATCAACAAGACGTTTCTGTCTTCACAATTGTCGGTAGATATTTTCTCTCTGGTTGTTTGTGAAAAATTCCAGTTAAAAAATAAGCTGTCCAGATAAGCTATTGCAGAATGAGTCCCGACTATGCGCTTCTTCTGAATTATCTGTAGTAGTGCCCAACATCGTTAGATGGACTAGGGATCAAACTCTGACTCAAACAGGTAAAGTTGAACTCCTTGAAACTCAAATGCAACCCAAATCCTTCAGAATCTATGTTCAAATATGTCAAAACTTTATACAATTCACTAAAACCAGCTTTATTCTTGTGCCTCTTCTGATAAAATTGACACAAGCGCACATAAAGCAGAATAAGCTGTTTTTTCCCCCTTCAATGCATTATTTTAAAACTCTGTATTATGTGAAATCCTGCTGTGAAAATCAATACTTCATTACCCAGCTGTGCTTTTACTGACAGCTTACATTTGTTAGTAGAAAAAAAAAACACCACTGGGTAAATAATCATTTTACAGACCAGTTCTGTTTGACTCAGAACCAGCTGCTCTGCGAGGATTTTGTTTTTATAAGAGGAGGTTCTGAACAGTGAGGTTTAGTGATCTATTTAGCTCAGGTGTGCCCAAAGTCAGTCCTCGAGGGCCGACATCCTGCACGTTTTAATTCTCTCCCTGGTGGCGGTAACAACCTTTTCAGCATGTCAACTGTTATTCTTAGACCTTCTAATGAGCCATTATTTGATCCAGGTGCGTTAAACCAGGGAGAGAACTAAAACATGCAGGATGCCGGCCTTCGAGGACCGACTTTGGGCAGCCCTGATTTAGCTGCTGACCTCAAACTACGGTTGGAGTTGCTTTTCTCCTGGCAGAACTACTAATCACACTTTTTAAAAAGTAGGCAGAGTGTGTCAGGTTGCAGGGTCAAGCCGTCGTGACATGGATAAAATGATGCCCGTGAAGGAAATGTAATGAGGGCAGCTGAAATGATCCCTTTACCCCCTGCTTTTGCAGCTATGAATGCATGAAGAGCAGCTAACATATGATGGGATCAGTGTAAAAGGGCTTTAATTGGTCACAGATGGAGAAGCCTGATATTAGTTCACAAAGATTGGATATTTTGGATGTGAGCCAGAATGACTGGCAGCTAAATTAGGAAAGAGATGGAAATAAAAAAGTGGTCTTCTGACAGTAGAGGGCCTCATAGAAACTCTTAATTAGGTCTGAAAGGCTCAGTGTGGAGGGGGAAATTTATCTGAGAGCACATAACTCAAGTATTTAGATGATTTGAGATTTGAATTAGAAAAATATTAGGCTTTATTTCTTCAGACACAAGTAAACCACTGGCTTAAGAGTATGATACAAAGTATATTTGAGGAAAACGTTTTTTTCTCGTCTTGATTCATTTGTTTATTGAAAATGTACAGTTCTTTGCAAAAGTATCCATTCACTTTAAGCTTCTTTTTTTTTGTATTTTGTCAAGCAACAACCACAAACTTGTCAGAGTTTAATTGGGATTTTATGGGATTCAAAAGAAAAGAATGTGTGCTAGTTTGCATATTCAGAAATTTGTGTCAATTTCTTTGTGAAATAGCTCAAATTTAGATTTACTTTTAACATTCAGATGAACTTTATTTTGGTAAATTTACAACATTACATAATAATAATAATAATAATAATAATAATAATAATAATAATAATAATAATAATAATAATAATAAAATAACATTTTACTAAGCAATCATTTACCATTTACCAACAAAGGAATAGGTGGTTCCTTTGATATTCTAGAAATTGAATATCAATATCTCCAGTCTGAGGTCTTTTGCTGCCTCTAAAAGGCTATGGAATAATACAGAATATTAAGTGAATATAATGCAAGTTGTTGCCCCCCAAAATTTCTGAAAGTCACACCTTTTCAGAATGTCACCCCCAGCACGGTTGGCTCATTTGATATTCTTCCTTTTACTTCTTCTGAATAATATTAAAGCGCCCAAGTTCCCATGATAACAAATTTTATCTGGATGTCCCATAACTCTGGTTCTGTTTGCTAAATTAGAACAGAAAATGTGTCAGTGAGCACATAATGTCATAATGTGATCTATTCATTGCCTTTCCTGGTTCTTATTCATATCCACATAAATATAATCTTAACGCTGTGATGAATTTGGAAGCATAATCTATACTAAACACATCACATACAAAAAAAAAAAAAAAACTGAACATTCTGACATTCAGTGTGATGGATTAGTCCATTCAGCCAAATTATTGGCTGATTGATTTCCATATCACCCATTATTGAATGAAACGTGGCAGTCCATGTGTAAATTGCATGCACAAATTGAAGTGCATTTGATTTGTCAGTTCAGGAGATGAAAACCTCATCCACATGCTCCCTGGGTGTTCAGCACTAAGTCCTCATGCTGCTCTAACTAAATGCATCACAGCCCGACGACAGCATACAACAGGTCAATTTCCTAACATTTGCCTTGTTATTTCCTCTTTTTCGCTCCTTTCCCATACGTTTGTCCCACCTCCCTGCAAATGGTCAGCCAGAGCAGCAAAATAAAGGGAATAAATAATAAGGCACAGGGAAGCAGTTTGCTCATAGCCTCTGGACTGGGGTGCCCAAGCTGTTAGGGGAAATATGGTGGGCATTTTCAGCTTTTCTTGGTGTGTCAAAAAATGTCTCATTAGGTTTGAGGAGAAGCAGTGAAAACATCTTGGTGCAGAGATGCCAGGAAACTGGGTGGGGACTCAACATATGCTGGCTGAAGTATTTCAAAACTCTGGAGAGACACATGTGAAACATTTCAGAGTTTAGCTCTACAGCTAAATCAGAATGAACAAGAAAAGCTCTCCCTCAAATTATAGAACTTAAATGATTAAAGAATAAAAATAAACTCCCCACAGAAGTCATAATGTCCTTCTACTTCAGTTATGTAAAGCATAGCTGTGAAGAGCAAGATACATGGTGAAGTCACCTAATTGGGAAATGGAATCAATTTATATTTAATCTCAGTTCATTTCAAGTGTTTATTCCCTTCTGTTCTGAACCTTTATAACACAGCTCTGATCCAACCAGAGCTGTGTTAGAATGGCCCAGTCAAAGTCCAGATCTAAATCCAATTGAGAACCCGTAGTTAATGCTTGCTGGTGCACATAATGAAATTTGACTGAGTTTGAATGCCTAGCAGAGAAAAACTGATACATTTTATTAGTTTCTACACGTACTACGCTTGAATAGATACCAGCTTAGAGATTTGTAGCTGCAAGGCTGAGCTCATGTCAAAAACCCTGGCAAGGAAAAGATAAAGGAAAGACCAAACTAAGCTGAAAACAGAGTCAACTAATATTCAATCCAGTTGTTCAATGCAGTTATATAGAGCCATTTCTCAACAAATGTCATCTTGAGGTCATTTTAATCCAATCATATGCATATTACAATTGAGAAAAATATATTAGGAACTTATGGAACCATCAGATCTCTGATGTATGAAATCTAGGTTGAGCATAAATAAAATTCAAACATAGAAAGAAGCACAAACAACCCACACACCCCCAGATCACAACAGGTGGTTCTATGCAGATATCAACAAAAGTTGCTGAATACAAATGCATTAAAAAAATGTATTAAATCATGAATAATTTTAAAGTTCACTGTACAGTTATATCCTACTTTCTGTTAATCGCATAACATCCCAGTAAAACACAGAGAAATTGAAGGGTTTTGGTAATTTTAATACCCACAAATTTAATGTGTTTGAAGAGCGTGATTGTATAAAGACCTTGGTTTAATGAGTGTGTGTCGCTGTTTTGATACTGAGGGAGCTTCAAAATGCAAAATAACCTCCCTGGTTTCTGCTTTTGCATAAATGACGAATGAGTCTCAGGAAGCAGCTGTGGGGCAATAAGGAAAATTAAAATAAATGAAATTAAAATCTACTGTAGAAAGAGTTTCTCAAGCAAATCAGGCTCCAGTGGTTTTTAAATGATACCCTGGCAAGTATTTCAGATCCGTTTATGGATATGTTTGTGTTCAGCTATAAAAATTTAATCACTTTAACAGGACAATATACGTACAAGATGTTAATACTTGCAGCATTCCAGCCTGATAAGATCCTTCTGTCTTTAAATTAATCATTTTAAAACCATTTTTTTTTATTTTAATGTAAAGTATATCTTGTAAAATTACAAAGGTCCTACAAATCTTATTCATAAGAGCTTAACACTTTAAAATACCAAAGGTTCCGTCTCCAAAACTTTAAGAGTGAACACACACATTAACAAGCAGAGAAAGCTGCTGTTATTAATCATTTCAGTTCGGTTTTATATACATATTTATGTGGCTTCTTGAGATATTGCAGCAATATGCTGTGGCAACTCAGGTGAAACATTTTAATGTGTAAGACAAATTACTTTAAATTTAGGTCCTGTGGGAACTTAGATAAGGACAGCACGATGTGAGAAGCAGGGATGTTTGATATTCACTGATACAAAACACTTTCAGGGGGAATACAGAAAATGTGGCCTCTCTACAAATCACCGGGCGCAACTTAAAATCGATCAGGGGCTCAAACAAAATGAACAAATAAATTCACAAAACGCATGAAATCAATCAGAATAATCCGCAGTGAGGCCACGGCTTATTGGGATTCAGAGGTTCCTTTATATGACATCCTGTTGTCGTACGTTTTTAAAGAGGTTCATTTTACTCTGCTGAATAAAGACTTCAGAAGATTATCTTTAATATGGCTGCCATTTTCATTTCACTGTCCTCCATGTTGTTATTGGATTTATTCATCACAGATTTTTGGGGCCTACAAGTGAGATGAAAACACTAAACCTGCACAACTTCTACATGGCTAGTAAATGTTACATACATTTACTGTGTTTAGATTATAATAGTGATGCTACATCATCATTTTACACTTATCTTACTTAAGTTTTTAGGGGTTGCTGTGTGGATTCCACTGGCAAAGGGTTAAATAATTAAAGGAGTGTCATCAGCTGTATTAGTAGTACTAACAGCAAAGGCAGCAATATTACAGCTAGCTGCATTAGTATTAGTAGAAGTGTTGTGATGGTTTGTAGGTTGAGAAAGGATCGGAGCTGCAGGTGTGTGTGCAGATCAAAGAACACAGACAGAGAACAAGTCGTACAATATACATGAAACCAACAAAGAACAGTGAGAACTGGTGGGCGTGCATACTGGGGAATGAGTGTAGAATGACATTAGATACAGGTGAAGAAATTAGGAGATTGGGAACAGCTGTGCAAGGGAGCAAACTGGCAGCCTGAGGGAAGGTGGCTAATTAACACTAAGGAGCTAAACTCCAAGACTTAAATAAAATTAGAAAGCATAGCGTAAACACTGATCTAAGAGAAAACAAAAAATCCAGTATGACAAAGAACAAAACACAAGAATAAACTAATAAACTAAATACAAAGAAATG